GGGCCTGCCAAACAACAATGATGGCTACAACCAAAAAATAGCATAGCTGGGTGTTGTGGTGGGTGCCTGTAGTCCCAGCTACTTGTGAGGCTGAGGCAGGAAACTCGCTTGAGCCCAGGAGTTGGAGGTTGCTGTGAGCTATTGGAGGTTGCTTTCACTACCCACTACTAAAAAAAGTGAAATTATGCAGTTAATTTTCTCTGTTGCTTCTTCATCCACTAAAAATAATTTCACAATTCAACACATTTAGGCAGCTTCTTTGTTACTTTCTTCAGCTTTTACTTCTTTAGGCAAAAATGGATCCATCTTTAGTAACAACCCTTCACTTGTTGAAGAATGAAGGAAAGCACGTACCACAAAGGGACCCAAGCTCAGTGGTCTGTGCTTACAAACTTCATCAATAACTGCTTGCAGATTGGCAATTATCTGGTCACTTGACATATTCAATGCTGCTATTTCGGTCTTCAGAAAGTTCTCCCTTTTTTCATTTACCTTAATTTCAAGTCCATATTGAAGTAGTTCAAGCATTTTGGAGATGTCACAGCCAATTTCGACTTAGCTTTGGAAATTTTTTTTCCATTTCTTCCTTAATGGGTGAAGCTCAGGCATTATTTCTGGGACAGCTACATAAAAGTCTACATGAACTTCATCATCCAAAATCTTCTGAATCATGGCATTGCCTGTAGCTCAGTTGGCAAGGGCTTTGGCCACATTAACCAAATGTTAATGGCGGGTGGCAGGTTCAAACCTGGCCCGGGCCTGCTAAGCAACAATGACAACTCCAACCAAAAAATAACCAGGCATTGTGGTGGGCACCTGTAGTGCCAGCAACTTGGGAGGCTGAGGCAAGAGAATCACTTAAACCCAGGAGTTGGAGGTTGCTGTGAGCTGTGATGCTACAGCACCCTACCCGGGGTGACAGCTTGAGACTCTGTCCCGAAAAAAACCAAACAAACAAACAAAAATATCTTCTGCATCAGATCAGTTCCTCCTATAAAAGCAGCTCTATTTTCTTCTGGTATTTTAACCTTTTCTGCATTCCCTGTAAATACAGCAACTTTATTGATTTCTGAAGAGAATGGGATGGTAACCTAACAACACTGGCAAATGGTTCCACTTTTTCTTCTTTCCCAGTGCCATATCCAATGTCCAATCAAGATAAACACCTTGCCTTGGATTAGTAAAGTCAAGAATTTGAAATTTCTTAAGTAAGGGAATAGCTTTCTCCACATCATATATCTGCCTTGGGTATAACTGTTTTAAATAGACATCATCCTCAGGCTCCCCTTCCATGTAAGAGTACGACTTTATTTTTTCTTTTTTCTTTCTTTCTTTCTTTCTTTTGGAGACAGAGCCTCAAGCTGTCCCCCTGAGTAGAGTGCTGTGGCATCACAGCTCACAGCAACCTCCAACTCCTGGGCTCAAGCAAGTCTCCTGCCTCCGCCTCCCAAGTAGCTGGGACCACAGGTGCCTGCCACAATGCCTGGCTATTTTTTGGTTGTAGCCATCATTGTTGTTTGGCGGGCCCAGGCTGGATTCAAACCTGCAACCTTAGGTGTATGTGGCTGGAGCCTTAGCCGCTTGAGCCACAGGCGCCGAGCCAGACTTTATTTTTTCTATGTAGTCTTTTTTTCATCTTGTGCTTTGTCTTTAGCACCTTTTTTTGTTTTCTTTGCAGGCTTTGTAGCAGCAACAAAATGTCTGTTGGACCCCAGAATGTTTACAGAACAAGGATAAAGAGATGTCTGAAAAACAATGCCTTTGATAGTGTATCCAAACCCTACTAAAGCACCTTACCTCGCCGCCATCTTGACCACTCCGGAGGTTGGTTAATTACTGATGGACTGAAGACAGATTGCTTTCCCTCCTACATAGAGGTAAGGTCATTCTTGGAGCAACTTCTTAGGAATAGCTACCCTCGTCCACTTGGCAACACCGGTATACAGTTAGGTGCAGATCTGCACACTCTTTGTTCCAACAATTTCATTGCTCTGTGATATGATGATTATCTGGGAAGCATCAACCCATGTAATACAAAAAACAGCATTAATACTGTCTGGACACTTTGTAGACAGCCCTCGTATATTCTAGAGAAACTCCCTCACATGTACTCCTGCTTTTCTCTCATGCTGTCCTCTTAGTAAGTTCTCAAGGACAGCAACTTGCACTTAGGCTAATCTTGAAGCCACAGTGATAAGAATAGTCTTTGAGAACCACAGCCACTTAGGTCACCAAATACAGGCTCATGGTTTGTCTTTGTTCAACTTAGAGGAACTCTATCCCTGACAGCCTTCACTCTGTTCAGTTACTCAAGTACATTACATTCTTAGTCCAGGGTCTCTGAAATGTCTGGATTCTCCTGTTTTCTATTTCTAGCCATCTTCTAAGTCTTCTCCAATATCCTGAACAATACACCCTTTTTGGCATGTTGACTCCCAAACCTTATTATGTCTCCCTCAACAGGATATCAAATATTCACACTTATTCTCTTCCCACATTTCAATGAACCTACTTTCATTTTGACAGCAGCATGGTGTAGTGAAAAGAAAACAGGCCTCTGTCCTGGTAAGGTGGCTCACACCTGTAATCCTAACACTCTGTGGATTGCTTGAGCTCAGGAGTTCGAGACCAGACTAAGCAAGAGCAAGACATCCCCCCACCATCTCTATTACAAATAGAAAAAAACTAGTCAGATATTGTGGCTTGTGCCTGTAGTCCCAGATACTTGGGAGACTGAGCCAAGTGGATTGCTCAAACCCAGGAGTTTGAGGTTACTGTGAGCTATTACACCATGGCACTCTACCCAGGGTCACAGGGTGAGTGAGACTCTGTGTCAAGAAAAAAAAAAAAAAAGAAAGCAGGCTTCAGAGTAGACAGAAGTGGGTTTGAATCTCTATCACTTTTAGACAAGTTACTAAACCTCCATTTGTCAGGTAGGGAAATCACTGCCTCTGTCTTATGGTTCCCGAGAGATTTCAGTGACAGGGATAGTGTAGGTTAAGTGTGTTTCTCATAGTGTGCTGCACAGAGTAGATGCCTGGTGGTGGTTAGTGTCATTTCCTTCCTTCTACTTCCTTCTCCTGACTTATCATCAGGTATTTATTTATTTATTTTTTTGAGACAGAGCCTCAAGCTGTCCCCCTGGGTAGAGTGCTGTGGCATTACAGCTCACAGCAACCTCCAACTCCTGGGCTCA